ATTGTCCAAAGGTCGTAGGTTCGAATCCCATCGTGGCCAGGCGTATTTTTCAAGCCTGCCCGGTGTGGATATACACTCAGAGTAACATCACACAAGCATATTATAATAAGCAGTTCGGGATCCTGACTCGGATTTTCAATCCAGAAAGCGCAATTTAAGAGGTTCCCTGTCAGTGTATAATATTATGATAACCAGTTCCTGGCTCGGATATTCAAGCCAAAAAGCAAGTGAAAAGAGCCTGGGTACGAGGTTGACAAGCAACGACATTCTGATTAATTATAACATTAAATAGAAGTAATACAACGCTTTTGAATAAGAACAATGATTTATTAGTCTCTATACTGTAAATGTAAAATAATATACCGGTCAAATAATTCATTAATATATCAAATAACTTGGCCTACCTTTATTTTTAATTGTTAAGGTCAACAGTATTCGACTAAAACGCATCCACACGCATTAAATTAAAATGGAGAAAAACCTCGAGAAGAATCATGAACTACAATCATATCTTAACTTTACTAGTGACTCGTATTTAGAAAGCAATCAAATTCAGCTGCCGAATGAAGGTCGGGAGGAAAAAAGAAAAGTAGCCGAGGCTATCTTCGGATTAGGAAATGTTTATGGAATTAATAATCAGTTTGACAAGGCAACTGAGTACTATGAGCAAGTCGTGAAAATTGCAAAGGAACAGAAAGATAAAAAACAGGAGGCAATGGCCTACATTAAATTAGGTGATGCTTATACAGAAAACAATCAGATTCGGACGGCACTTGAATACTATGAGAAAGCCTTAACAATTGCAGAGGAACAAGGTGATAAAGATATGGAAACAAAAATATACTTTTTGTTAGGATGTGCCTACATGGTGGACAATAAGTCTGAAACAGCAAGATACTTTGGATACTTTGAGAAAGCATTGGGAATTGCAAAAGAACAAGGAGATAAGCAGCAAGAAGGCAAGGCATGCCTCATATTTGGAGCTGTTCACATGTTTGACAATCAGTCTCAAAAGGCAATTGAATTCTATGTTAATGCCTTAGAAATTGCAAAGAAACAAGGAAATAAGCAGATGGAAAGAGATGCATGCATCCTTTTGGCAAATACTTGTTTAATGAGCAACCAGATTCAAAAGGCAATTGGATACTTGGAGAAAGCATTAGAAATTTCAAAGGAACGAAAAGTTGAACAGAAAGATGCAGGTGTATACATGGTGTTCGAAAGAGCTTATACATTGGACAATCAGATTCAAATAGCAATTGAATACTTCGAGAAAGCCTTGGAAATTGCACAACAAGAAGAAGATAAACATCAAGAAGCACAGGCATACATTGGACTAGGAAATTCTTATCGTTTAAACAAACAGTTGGAAACAGAAATTTATTACTTCGAGAAAGCCTTGGAAATCGTAAAGAAGCAAGAAGATGAAGACCACGAAACAAAGGTATCAGTTAAGTTAGGACAGGCTTATTGTTCAAACAAACAGTTTCAAATGGCAATTAAACACTTCGAGAAAGCCTTGAAAATTGCAAAGAAACGAGAGGACAAACAGCAAGAAACAGATATATACTCTTTGTTAGGGGATTCTTATTTTTCAAACAAACAGTTTGAAACGGCAATTGAATACTTCGAGAAAGCCTTGAAAATTGCAAAGGAACGAGGAGATGAAGTCCAAGAAACAAAGGCATCACTTGGGTTGGGATTTGCTTATAAATCTATCAATCAGTCTCAAAAGGCAATTGAATTCTATGTTAATGCCTTAGAAATTGCAAAGAAACAAGGAAATAAGCAGATGGAAAGAGATGCATGCATCCTTTTGGGAAATACTTGTTTAATGAGCAACCAGATTCAAAAGGCAATTGGATACTTGGAGAAAGCATTAGAAATTGCAAAGGAACGAAAAGTTGAACAGAAAGATGCAGGTGTATACATGGTGTTAGGAAGAGCTTATACATTGAACAATCAGATTCAAATAGCAATTGAATGCTTCAAGAAAGCCTTGGAAATTGCACAACAAGAAGAAGATAAACATCAAGAAGCACAGGCATACATTGGACTAGGAAATTCTTATCGTTTAAACAAACAGTTGGAAACAGAAATTTATTACTTCGAGAAAGCCTTGGAAATCGTAAAGAAGCAAGGAGATGAAGACCACGAAACAAAGGTATCACTTAAGTTAGGACAGGCTTATTGTTCAAACAAACAGTTTGAAACGGCAATTGAATACTTTGAGAAAGCCTTGAAAATTGCAAAGGAACGACGAGATGAAGTCCAAGAAACAATGGCATCACTTGGGTTGGGATTTGCTTATATATCTATCAAACAGTCTCAAATGGCAATTAAATACTTTGAGAAAGCTTCGGAAATTGCAAAACGGCGAGAATGTAAATTTGAGCAAACATGTGCATACATTGGGCTAGGAAATGCTTATAAATTGAACAATCAGATTGAAAAAGCAATTGAACATTTTCAGAAAGCGTTGAAAATTGCAAATGAAGAAGGTCATAAACAGCTAGAAACAACCACATACCTTGCGTTAGGAAATGTTTATGGTGTGGAAAACAAGCTTAACCCCAAAACGGCAATTGAATACTTCGAGAAAGCCTTGAAAATTGCAAAAGAACAACAAGATAAAAAACAGGAAACAGATGCATTAATTGGTTTGAGACGTACTCATGAATCGAACAATCAAGTTCATATGCAAACATTCAAAGAACTTAGAGCCAAAGAAATTGCACAACAACGAGGAGACAAACAACAGGAAATGCAGACCTTAAGAGGATTAGGAAATACTTATATAAAAACCGTTGAGGGTCAAACGAATAATGGATACTTAGAGAAAGCCGTAAAAAATGCTTTAGAGCGTGAAGGCAAACGTCAAGACGAAAATACTGCAAGAAATGCAACTGAAAAATTATCAAGAAATACAGGTAAGCTTATATCACCTTTACGTTTGAAGAATAGTTTCGATTACTCAATATACGCTTTCCCTTGACTGTATCGTGATGACTTAGGATTTTACAGGGTGTCTAAAAAAACGCTATGGAAATTCAACAAGCCGTTGTGCATCATAAACGTGGCTGAACAATTAGATTTTTACATATAGGACGAAAAAACAGTTATTTAGCTTTTCAATGATACTCTTTTTTAATCGTAACCATGAAAAATGTCCACTTACCCGTCAAATAAAAATTGCCGGTGTCCCAGGATTTTCGCCCCCCCCTACATTTTCGCCCCCCCGCCCGGGGGCGAAATTCCTAGGAATATCGCCCACCCAGGGGGGAAAAATCCTAGGAATTTCGCCCCCCTTTAGGAAATTCGCCCCCTTTATAAGGTCCCACCTTAATAGGGTCCCAATCTGAGAGCGAGAGCGTAAAATTGAGTATGTTCCTTAAATTGGTCAGAATATTTTTTAAGTTTGAGGGCCCCTTACAGGACCTTCACATGCAGTCTGGCTAAAGTATAGCTCAAAAATAATGATGTCATGGGGCCCCCAGGGAAGATTTGTCCCGGGCCCCACGAATTAATTCTCTCGGCGGTCCTGTCAATATCAATGGAATCTAATAATCATGATTTTTTCTGTGTTGGTGTAATCTGCTCAGGTGAATAAGATGCTTGTGATGTCTACTCTGAGTGTATATCCACACCGGGCAAGCTTGAAAAATATGTTTGGCCACAATGACCAGGCATGCTTTCCAAGCTTGCCCGATGTGGATATACACTCAGAGTATATAGCATCCCAAGCATCTTATTCACCTGAGTACATTACACCAACACAAAAAAACCGTTTATGACTGTTTTCAATCTTTCGATTTATAGATGAAGTCGACGATAATTATCATAATAAAACTTTTCGAGCATCAGACACATCAGATAGTGTTCAACGGCAGGACACCCAACACGAAATTGGCGATAATGTTGTCAGCGTTGGTGATAGAATAGCATCGGCGGAACAAATGTTAGGGCATTCCAAACCAAATGGGGACAAAAATGAAGTTGCTATCAAAAGCAACAAAAAACCAGCTCCTGTTGCGAATGAAACAGATCTCAAAAGGAGCAAAGCAAAAGCTTATCAACAAATGGGAAACGTATCTACTAGAACAGGCAAGTATAAAAAAGCAATTGAGTATTATCAGAAAGCACGTAAAATATTTCCAGGCATCAAAACAGATAAAGTAGAAGTGATAGCATATCAATGGCTAGGTTACAACCATCTGCAAACTGGTCAGTACCAAGAATCCATAACCTATTACAAAGAAACTTTGGAACTTGCTTCACAGCTTGGTGATCTAAAGAGGAAAATCAACGCTTACCTGGGATTAGGAAGTGCATACAGTAATACTGGCGAGTTTGAGTCCGCACGAAAGTATTTCTTAAAAGCACTTACAGTAGCTGAAGTCAAAGAGATCAATGACAAAGGTCTCCAAAAGGAAACGTACACAAACCTAGGAAATATATACTACAAGATTTGCAAGTATGATGCAGCTGCCAAGTCGTACCTCAAAGTTCAAGAAATATCCCACGATCTTGGTGAGAAAAAAGAAGAATGGCACGCCTATCTCATGCTCGGCCACACGTTTCGACAATTAAAGAAACACGAGAAAGCCATTGAATCTTACCGAAAAGCATTAGACATTAATAAATAACTGGAAGATGAAGGAATCCTAAGAAATAATTCTAAGAAAGATCAAGAAGGAATTATAAATGAGTGGTGCGGATACTGTTGCCATTTTATTGGTCAACATCATAAAGCAATAACATTTTATGAGAAAGCAAAAGATATTGCGAAAGAAGTTGGAGACAAATATCAAGAATATCGCACAAATCAAGCCATCGGAAATATCCTCTGCAACATTGGTAATTACGCGAAGGCGAATGAAAATTACCAAGAAGCTTTCAGAATTGCTGTGAAACTTGGTGATAAACATTGTGAAGGAACATCATGTTTAAATTTGGCATCAGTTTGTAGCAAAGATTGTGATTACGAGATTGCGATAAAATGGTACGAAAAGGCACTGGATGTTTTTGGAACGGAGTTTGATGATCACATTCTGAAAGAGAAGGCTCTTACTGGTTTGGCTATTCCCTGGTTTAATCTTGGAAATACTCGAAAAGCAATTAAATCAGTTCAAAGAGCTCAAAAAATTTCTATTGAGAAAACCGACAAAGGTAATTATTTCTGATAATCAATGTTAAAATTCAAATAGTGCATAAAAAGAAAGTACGTTTGGCTAATTTTTTCGTCAAATATTGCATGTATATTGAAGTTCTAAACTTTTGAAAATTGTATTCGCATTACGGCAGATTACCTTGACATCGACCTTACGCACCAGAACAGAAATTTTACAAAGAAAATCTCGTCGTCACAAACACCAGGTAAGTTCAATTGAAAGCGTTTTACAATCGTTATAATTTGATTGTTGAAATTTAGATATTTTGCTGCAAATATACCAACAAAAAAAATTGAAAGAACAACGATTTAGATCCGTATTTTTGGACATTCAAGTATTATTTGTTGAAAAAGAAGCATCTAACATATGTGATTTTTCCTATTTTTTGGCTCCACGCGTTGGTCGGGTTCAGTACTACAACAAATAAAAGCGATAGCGTCATAACTAATGTCAACTATACTTAAGGTGGCTCGATACAGTTTAGGTTTTGTGCAGCAGATATCAGGATGTTCATCATCTATTTTTAATCATTTTTCTTTTAAATTATGCCAGTTTTGGTAACATAAATCTCGTCGCTACGGCAACACACGCGTAAGGAATTCACCCTATAATACCCTATTGGTTTGTGTATTTGAAAAAGAAGCACGGTGACTGTCATCAATTGTGCACAGTGCACTACTTTTTTTAGAACATAGCCTATAACAATAAGCAAAATATTAAAAAATTGTAGATGCCATTAAAAAACCCCGCCGAAATGTCGTTTTCTTTGATAAAATATTTTTGCATTGCAGAATTTTTTTAACCTTGGTATATTGAAATATTTTAAAAATACAATACAAAAATGAAATATAGCTCACTCCTTTTTTACTCACGGATGTTGCGGAGCAACACTTTGTGCCAATTGGCATTTGTTGTGACGTGAGCAATTGATATGCAATGTGTTATGAAACACGTACAATGGCGCAAGCAGGGGCGTAGCGAAGGCTATGTGCTTGGGGGGGGGGGGGGGG